AAGTCGTGTAATCGACCTGACTCTACAGCAATATCGGTTTTGAATGAACTCTCAATACAATTCCAGTGTTTTAGAAATACAATTGTGCAACAATTCTTGTTTGTTATTCTTTGTAAGCGGATTTTATGACAAGTGGGCTCTCAWTMATGACATGTATGTTTAAGTAAGCCTTTTTATGACACTTTCAGTTGSTGTAGTTTGCGACTTTTCATTCGTTTCAGTGCTTGGTAGTATCTTCCTCAATTGTGACTTAATCAACCCAATATAAACATCTTAAAAGATGATCTTTAAARTCTRAAATGATGTCAGATTACAAGATCGCTGCCCCAATTTGCGATTGGTTGAAAAAGCAATAAAATCATAGTTACAATTRMATTTATTAGATTTTCAACAATTAACAGCTTCTTGATTGGTCTTTCTAGTGGCTACAATTCTGAAAATTTTGCCGGTTCAAATTGAAAATCTTCTAAACGCTGATAACATGAGAAAATCCTCTYCAGTCGGTGACAGCATTTTAAATTTATGTCATAAATGTTGTCACATATAAAATGAATATAGAATCTCGACATATGTGATAAAATAACAAGAAATATAATTATTACGGATTTAATTAACTTTATAATTTCTTGAATGTAGTAAACAATATTATTCTGGTTTCTGATTAAGATTTTTTTTTCGGCGTTTTTTAGACTTTAATCTCGAGTTCTGTTTGCTGAATTTGATTAATGTGCTCTTTGTCTGAAAAACAAAACACCATGATTACCYTGGCTCCAGAGGTTTGATATTTTCTYTCTTCGCTATTGTTTTTGTCGGCATYGATTGCGAAGAGAGAAAATATCAAACCTYKGGAACCAGGGTACACGATATCGATGATGTTTAATATGATTTACAGGACAAGGATGTATGAATCAAGAAGTGGACAAAAATGTACGACTGAATCATATTGACGTCATTATTCACTTACCTTGTGTTCTCAGTTTCAATCAAACGGAAGCAATGTCAGTCCAAAAAATCTCCATCTCATTTGCCTTTAA